CTACCTGCAGACATAAGGTTGATATACTGATCCACACTGAGGATCTTAATGGTAAAAGTGTGTTTTCTTCTTTTGTTCTTCTTTTCTACTGCTTTTAATCCAGTGACTGTGCAGTGACAGCAGAGAGCGCTAAAACACTGCAGCCACTGTGTCTAAACAGGCAACTACGAACTACAACCACAATTTTACAGACTATTATACTATTTTAGACTATTACAATAAAAATATAAATATATAAATATAAGATGTGTTGGTCCGAGGGGAATTTATTATCTCCACAATGTAGGAAAAGGTCTGCGTATCTGCCTGCACGAGTGTGCTGCCACAGAACCTGCTTCCAGATTTTCCCTCAGAAATAAGAATTCCTAAATCCATATATTTCTTCTTCTACAATAACTGCTCCTAGAAACTGAAGCTTCCATGTTGACTGAAAATGACGATGGCTTCTGATTTTTATTAGTATTCGACTGCACAACATGAGTTTGTACAGATGAAGCCTGTTACAGGCGTTTTGTTCCTCTTGAAATTTGAAACATGGCAGTCTGCAGCTTTGTCCACTGCACAGCTTCTTGATGGTGAGTAAGTAACCCACTTACTTCCTCTTCTGCTTCCCTCCAAAATGCACCAACAATCAGATAACCAAATATTTATAAAAATGAAAAGAACAAAAAAACAAGTTGAAATCATGCTATACAACAGTAAAACATGTAATGTAGGTAGAAGGTCCAATAGATTTGTCTACAGCGCCCACCTCAGTGTCAGGGAGCAATGACAGCTCTCACAGACGAGAGCGAGACTCGCTCAAGTATGTTCACGTTAAATGTTGTGACTGTGAATTCACACATGGAGTGCAGGTTTCCACAGTGAGCATGCTGGGAGCTGAAGTCACTATGTCTTTATTGAAGCAGCAGCATGTTGTCAATAATATTAAAGAGAGCTGTTTGTCTTTGTTTTTGACTGTTTTAACTTGCATCAGGTTCAGGTGTTTCATTTTCTAAACTTGTACTTTCTAAACTTTCTTCAGCTCTGATGATGAAACACTGAACGCTTTCAAGCAGCACCTTTGTCTCTGAACACGTTTTATTGTTTATTCAGATTGATGAACTGCAGTTTGTCAGAGATCAGCTGTTCTTCTCTGGCCTCAGCTCTGAAGTCCAACCCCTCCCACCTGAGAGAACTGGAGCTGAGTGAAAACAACAAGGTGCAGGATTCAGGAGTGAAGCAGCTGTGTGGTTTTCTGGAGAGTCCAGACTGTCGACTGGAGACTCTGAGGTCAGCTCACTGTCTGTTACTGTTGTAGATCTTATACCTTTAATCCACAACTGAACAAAGTCACTGCTCATTTTAGAGAAAAGATCATTGACTAGGATGTATCTGATTGATTATCAATGATTCTATCTACATGATTTAATCTACAGATTGGGGTACTGCTGGTTGTCAGAGATCAGCTGTTCTTCTCTGGCCTCAGCTCTGAAGTCCAACCCCTCCCACCTGAGAGAACTGGACCTGAGCTACAACCAGCTGCAGGATCCAGACCTGAAGGATCTGTGTGAGCTTATGGAGAGTCCAGACTGTCGACTGGAGACTCTGAGGTCAGTAGAGGGGTGGAGTCTGTCCATTCATCAGTATTGTACTAAACACAGTTTGTATCAAAGTAAAGATCCAGTGTGTACTGTAAACCTCCAGCCTTCTCAGTGGCTGGTTTCCTGCGAGAGGAGAACTGTGACAGGATTCAGGATTGGACAGAAAGACAGAGAGAGAACAGTCAGCCAATCATATACCAGCAATCGGGAACATATCAGAGTTACCAGCAGCCTGTCTCATGAAAGCAGGTGAATGTCAGTCAGCTAGATTTGGACTTAACTCCGGCTTTTCAGTCTGACAGACACTGGTTCACTTTGTGGTGTGATAGATTACCATGGTAACAGGGATCAATCAACATAAATAATCCCCCTCAAACAGAAAACATGGAGACCGGCAGAAAAACAACATGATGGAATGTGCAACACATGACACCCCGGTGGTTACCATGGTGATGATTACTACTATAACGGTACCCTGCTTAAAAGTGAAACTGTAAAGCTCCAGTTGATCCCAAAGTTAGCTGACTATCCCACTAATCAGGCTTATTGATACAGGATTAGTTAATATTCATCTGGGTGAAACTGATCTGGGATCATCATTGTTTAATACAACTAACTCAGACAGAACCTCATTATTTTCCCCTCACTTTGTAACTGTCGTGTTTGTTCCTACAGGGTCGACGACAGGGTGATTAAAGCTTCCAGAGACAAAACCTGTGAGTACTGAAACACTGTCTACTATTCATCCATCTGACTGAAATCTGACAGGAAAGTGAGCATGGGCTCATTTCATTAAATGAAATAATAAGAAGATATTTATAAATTAGGTTTTGGTCTGAGCTTTGGTAAAGAACAACAGGTGTGTTTCAGCTGACAGTAGTATGTACCCCATGGTCACCTGGATTTCAGGCAAGTTGGAATTAGAAGTTTCAAAAGTGAATTATTTAAGATTTAGTTTTAGATGTGTGGAGGTTTTAGTTTCATGTAATACCAGTGTTAAACATTTTGATTATTAAATTCAGGTGAGCAGGATAGGTGTGAAAATCTGAGGACATCTAGTGGACAGGTGGGATATAGCAGGTCTGGAAAGTGTCTCAGGAATGCATGGACCTGGAGGAAGTGGTTAGGGCCTTCAGATGAGGACAGAGGGGCAGGGGAGGGGATTTCTGTCTAAAAACAATTCCATATGGAACATGTCAGAGAGTCTTCATGGAGGCAGGGAGCAGAACTGGAGGATCAGCAGCTGCGTTCAGAAAAACACATTCGGTCAAGTTATGTTTCTCATGTTTGTCAGCAGACGCATTCAAGACTGCAAATGTGGTCAGAATGACGCTTGTATTTTTTCATGTTTACTATGAAATCGTTTTTAAACAAAAGACAATAGATGAGTTTTCATCCAAGGATTTTCATGCTGTGTGAATATTCTCAGTGAGTGTGCAGCCTGCTGCTGAAGAAGAAGATTTGTGCTCAGAGGATCCAACATCATTAAATCAAGGTAAGAAAAACTGTTGACGGATCATTTTGATCAGGATGATTGTGTTTTTTAAACAATAACCTGTGTGTTAGACAACAGCTCGCATATCAATATTATAGACTTAGTTCACTCAGTAGCAGATATTTGGACGTGTACGCTCAGGTTGATACACAACCAATAGAAAACCAGGAGCATCTGAGAGGAAAGTGATGACAGGAGGTTTTGAGCTGCTGCTGTTGGACTCTGCTCACATTGTCTGACTTCATCTCCAACTCAGTGAACACTGATTTCTGGTGTTTGCCCTGTGTCCCATCAGGTGACTCTGATGTCAAACTGGACCCAAACACAGCAGAGACAAATATTGACGTCTCTGAGGACGACACAGAGCTAATGAAGGTGAGAGAAAAACCTTTGTGTCCTGATGTTACAGACAGATTTAAGGTCTCAGTACACAACAGGAGAAGTCAACAAATCTCAGACTTGACTTCCTGTCTGACTGTGCTTCAGCTCAGTCTGGACTGTGGGAGAACATTCGTTTGCTTCACTGAACACAAGTTGATTATTTCTAATAAAACTGATGTTGTTTCTCTGTGAATCACAGCCTCCATCAAGCTTCACACCTGAACTGAAAACTGAGTCTACACAAGTCTCATACAGGTAATCATATAATAAAATCACTGTTTTAGACAAGGCTTGGACTTTGTATTTGCAGATATTTGTGTGTCTCCTTTCCCCTCCGGTCCCTCAGGGCTCATGAAGTGGAGTCTGATTTGAGATGAGAACATTTTCATCCGAGGTTCAACAGGTTCCTTGTGCTCATTCAGCTCTCTGTGTCCTACAGGTTCAGGTGTCCTGGTCCAGGTGGGTTCCAGTGTACTTTGACTGGACTGGTTTTTGTTGTGGCTCAGGAGGCGGCGCTGCTCTACAGGACTGTCCAATGGGATGAGAGCCTCCTCCAATCAGCTGGAAAGACGCCAGCAGGGCCGCTGTTCAATATCCAGTGTCCTGAGGAAGCAGTGTGTGAGCTCCACCTCCCACACTGTGAAACAAAGGACGGTGAGTAAATTACTGTTTGTTAGAGCAATGATGAAAAGCCCTGTTAGTGCCCCCTGCAGGCTGCAGAGTTCATTACAGCCACAGTCTCAATCCACAGCCTCAGAGAGAAGAAGGTACTGGAATCCTCTGGGACCATGAAAAAACACAGCAAATACATTGGCATTGTACTGCACTGAATAGGCTGTAATTTTATTTAATGTTACAAAGAAATTACATTTTAATGCAATAGTGATTACCTTAAAAGTACACAGCAAAGTAAAAAAGTCTATTTAAATACTGTGTCTTTAACAATGGAGATCAGTCCATTTGACAGCAGGTTTAGAGTTGTGCTGGTAAAAGGGAAACAGAGTTATCTTTCTCCTTTTCCTTAATGCACTTCATGCCAAGCTGTTTATATGTCTAGATACAAGTGGGAATTTTGTCCTTAAGATAGTGCTAAAGAGATCAGAAGGCCACTTAAATTCATCAGGATTTATCATCTGGGGATCATGAATATATCAGAAACCATGATCTTTTATTCTCATTCATTTCTTCTTATTTATTGTGATACTTTCCCTCCTTGATTTGGATTAACCAGATCCACAGGTACAACAATGTATCCCCTCTGGACCTTACCCCAACTCGCCGAAAGGAGTCTTGACTTGCAGCAGCAAGGGTGCAAACCCTCACTGGCTTCCCATCCACCAACACTGACAGTTGTCTTGAATTGCCTGATCTGGGCAAATGTTCAGTTCTTCAATGACATGACTAAGCGTCCTAGATAGCGAATAAAGTGCTCACTACCGTTGTAATGAGGCCGTTGTCGGTAAAGCAGATGTTGAATACCTGTTTTCACAGCTCTGCTCTCTGAAGGACTGCTGTCAGTCGTACACATCACCGATGATGGAATGAGTGTCCTGGAACCGCTGCAGATCACAGACACTCACGTGGTCGTCAAAGTCCCTCATCTCTCTGCCTTTGGCCTCGTCTGGGCTTTGGAGATTTTATGGAGGATTTGGAACAACAGGAACCCAATTCGTGGCCAAGTTTTGCTGTTCCTCCGACCACCAAACCCCAAAACACAGAAGCAAAACCTGAATGTGCTTCTCCTGCCAACCAATATCCCACTGGCAGAGGTAAAGTCTGCCAAAGTATTACAGCTTCACTTTCAGTCCAAACTCATCAATATCTGTCAGATATTGCGATACATGTTCAAAGACCAGTCAGTCACCTGCTAAAATGGTATTTCTTGTTTTTATCATTACAGTTGTGTCACTAGACAAAACCCAGGTGATTTAACAAAGATAGACAAGAACTGGATAAACCTTTTATCACACAAGCTCGCAGAGAGGCAATGCATTGGTGTTTGGGTGTGGGCTAGGAAAGGATGTAAAGGGGGTGGGTTTATCTTTTCCCTCTTGAACATAGACATCTTAAAAAAGGACACTACTTTAAATAAAGCATGTGATAATTTCTGCGGAGTGTCTGGGCTAACTCAGCTGGTACATGAACCAACACGTTACCTGCACCACTGAAACTATCATTGATTTGATTCTTGTCTCAGGAAAAGATAACATTTCTAAAAGTGAAGTAGTTACAGCTTGAGTGGCCATAACATCATTTACCTCACTAGGAAGATTAGAATACCTGTGTATAAACACCATAATTCATGTAGGTTGAGAAGTTGAGAAGCAATATCAGTTTGGATAAAGACGGAAGTAAGATGGTGAAAAACATGTGATACTGAGGATGAACCCTCTTAGTAAAATGTTCTCATGTCTCTTAAGGTGAGGGCAAAACAGGAAAACTCTGTGTACATCCAGGCGTCTTCCAACTGCAAACTCATCAAAGATCAAAGTTATAGTGCGCACTGTCTGAACGCCTACAAAATACAGCCTAAGGTGAGTACTTCAAATAAAAGCTTTTGTAATATGCCGACAAGATTCATAAAACCTGTTTTAGTTTGGATATTTGGATACTGTAAAGACACTGACACTGGTGCTACTGGTTTTCTAGAAAGCAGAGTTTGATGTGGATTTTGGACCAAATTTCCACCCAACGTTTGAGATCCGCCTGCCAACAAACACGGAGGAGGCGACTGTAACGGTCCGAGACGAAACATATTCAGATGTCTGGGAGTGTGAAGTTGACTTGACTGGTAAAGTCTTCCTCCACCTGCAGCACCGCTCCCCCTGAAAGAATAGTTATTGATTGATCCATGGTGCCTTTATTCTTGTTCTGCCTCAGATCATCTGCAGTCTGCTTTTATTCTACAGCATTTAACCAGTTTTCATGGATCCAGGGCCAGTCTTTACAAAACTGTCTGTTAAAAAGCTTCAAATAGCAGCAGAAAGTAGCAAAAGATAAATGATGCTTTGTTAAAGATTAAACTGCCCATCAGTACAATCAGAGCTCAAACCATCCGTCAATTGACAGAAAATTAAATGGCAACTTCTTTAATTATTGTTTATTTTTTATTCAAGATTTCCTGGTTCCAGCTTCTCAAATGTGAGAATCTGCTGCTTTTCCTTTCTAAAAGTTCAAATATTTTTATTCACGATAACAATCCTGAGGTTTGGACTATTGGGTGGACAAACCGAGACTGAAGATGTCACCTTGGACTTGGGTATAATTGTGGGGCATTTATCATAATTGAAATAATCAATCATCAGTTGCATTTATATAAAAGAGTTGGAAATGAGCTGCAGCTCAGGCGGCTACAGCATTAAAGTGCTGCTCTAGCATCAACGTGTGAGTGATAACGGAACGATAAAGTATCACAATCACAGGTGACATTTTTCTACTTTTTTTACTGTAGCAGACAAAAAACATGACATTTCATTTCTTTTGGACTTTTGTCATTAGATCTCTGTTTAAAAGTGATTGTTGATTATTAACAAAGTCTTTTCCCTGGTTTTCTTCCAGGTCCAAGAAGGGAAACTGTACATTGGAGCGTCCCAGCAGAGGACAGCCTCCCAGCAGAGGACACGCTGCTCTTAGTTCGGACACAGTTCATCAACAGAGTGTCTGCAGCTGTTCTAAACCAGCTTCTGGATAAACTTCTGGAGCGTGGTGTTGTGACTGATGATGAAATGCAGTCAGCCAGAACAAAAACGAGAGCAGAAAAGGCACGAGACGTGATCGACACTGTGCGAAGAAAGGGAACTGAAGCCAGCTCGGTCCTGATCGCTGCTCTCTATGAGGTGGATCAATGCCTCTCCAGAGTGCTCGCATTAAGATGAAGCAAAATCCAGAAACTGCAAAGTGACTCTCACATTTTGTTAAAGTTTTTAATAAGTGGACTTCGACTCTGAAAGTGATTTGCTCCAGTTTGGAAAAAAGGCCTCACATTGTGATCCAACAATCTTACAATCACTCCATATTCCATAGAACCCAGAGAGTCCTTCAGTAACACTCAGTGCTGCTCTGGAAGTATTTCCAGAGTCCTCAAAGACTCCTAACATTTGGATGAAAAAAAGTTCTTACAAAATAGAATAAGGTTTTTAACCACTTTCTGTAGCTGTATTTCCAGAAGCAGGTTTTATTGTTGACATAAACCCTTCCTCTTTGAAAAATCAAACAGAGACAAAATATTCACACCTTATTGTGTATGAAAATATAAAATATTTGATGATGATACATCTTTAAACCTTGATTCACATTGTACAAATTAAAAAGAGATTCGTCCATTTCAGCTTCCATTCTTGTTTTGATTATGAAAAAGTTGCAGCTGAGGGAAAGATTTAAAATCTTTGTTATGGAGCAACAGATGATCATAAGACTAAGGATTCTGGAAATACTTTGATTACAGCACCAAGTGTCATGGGGTCTAATGTGGGAGCTGCCACACCAGGCTGTTACAGACGAAGTGATGATAGTTTGAATGATGGCTGTATAAACTGAAGAACAGCTGTTTCACTTTCACTGTTTTGGTGATGTAGTTAAAACTCACATGTGACTGAATGTGTGATGGTTCCCCTGAGGTGTGTGTGAGAGTTTTAGTGTTGGGTGGGGCGCTGTGTCTGATGGCTTCTGGATGTGTTGAGCTGGAGGTGGTTGTGGTGGCACTGAGGGACTGTGTGGGTTTCCTGCTCCCACTAACTGCTGCTTCTTATTGGATATGAGAGCTATTGTGTCATCAATGGACTTCAGGATGGTAACTGAACTGTGATGGGATGTGACAGTGTTTGTGTAAAGGAGAAGAGTCAGGGGGACAGGACACAGCCCTGGGGAGCTTCTCCTATAATAATGATAATAATCGTTATTTATATAGTTTATCATATAAATCTTCTGCAAAAAACAGTTAAATTGAATTTAAAAACATATGTCATCATTTTTACAAGATTGATAAACGGTCAACTAATCGAAACAACTTCTAGTTGGTAAACAGCACACGCACGCACGTACGCACACACACACACACACACAGAGGCAGACTCGTGATTTACTGAAGCGGAGAGGAACTGAAACTGAAACTGAACTGAAAGTGTTCAGTCAGTTGGTTCAGACTCCAGATTTTAACGGCACAGAAAAGAAAGAGGGAAACTGAAGGCTGACGCAGGTGAGTGTTAAACATTATAATATATATAAGTGTCAGTTTCCCCCCTGTGGAGGGAAGAAGAGTCAGATTGAACTGTCCTCACAAAGACACAGAGAACAGGAGATAATATGAGGTGTGGTACTCTGTGTTCTCTGTCGAAGTTTGATCCATCTGTGGACAACATGTGATAAGCTGAATATTACACCTGAAACTACAACTGGTTGTAGTGCTGCCTGGTTTTGTTGTTCTGTAAAGTGTGTCTGTGTCTGTCTGTGTCTGTGTTACTTCCTGTGGTTCTTGTGTTTGTGAGCTCACAGTCAGTGTTAGTGGTTTCCCTTTCAGACTGACTGAAGTCCAGAGGATGAGTGATTGGGTGGAGGAAGACGAGGACAGACCAGAGTCCTCAGGATCCATTTCTTTCAACACCGACCGGTCCAAAGACGATCCTTCAGTCCTAGGTAATAAACCTGGATCTTTAGCTACAAGGTAAGAGAACTACTACAAACTTCTTTATGTTTTCATCAGCATTTTGTGTCTGTTTTGATTGTCGACTGTAGAGAGATGACAGGAAATATAACTTTCAGCTCTGCATTCAGCAACATTATCACCAATGCTGCAGCTCCCCAGCGACAGAAGCTTCTATCGATTAGAATACTCGATTTATGGCTAGTGACTTGCTATTTGATTATCTAGGCAGTGCTGTTAAAAATAATCTGTGAAAGTTTTTTATTATTTATTTAAAAAGAAATCTGTTCATGTCCACAGAGGGAGGAAGAGGAGTGATGTCTCTGTGGAGGAGCAGCTGTCCTGCTGTGCTCTGAGAGAACTGAACCTAAGTGGAAAGAAGCTGCAGGATTCAGGAGTGAGGATCCTGTCTGCTGGACTGGAGAGTCCAAACTGTCGACTGGAGACTCTGAGGTCAGTTCACTGACTGGAGTTGTTGGTCTTTTTTGTATATAGTCATTTCTGGTTCACATTTCAGGATTTGTCCGAGCACAAACCTGAAGAATTTTTTTTTTAGAAATTATCTGTCTTTCCACATGGCTGTGGTGTAGTAAAAAAACGACTGAGTACTGATGGGTCGGAACACGCTGGTGTTAGATGGTGTCTTGTTTTGCTCTCTTTCATTGTATTTTGTTTGTATGTGTTCATAGTGGCACAGCAGTATAAAACATTTGTGCATTTGATTTGTCTCTTGAGCCAATAAAAATATAATAACAAAAACGATTGACATGATTTTATTCTTTATTCAGATTGGGTCGCTGCAGTTTGTCAGAGATCAGCTGTTCTTCTCTGGCCTCAGCTCTGAAGTCCAACCCCTCCCACCTGAGAGAACTGGACCTGAGAGTAAACAACCTGCAGGATTCAGGAGTGAAGCAGCTGTGTGGTTTTCTGGAGAGTCCAGACTGTGGACTGGAGACTCTGAGGTCAGACTCCATGTTTTATTTCTGTGCTCAGATTAATCTGATGTTAAAGTTGTGTTGACTCTAACCTGCAGACAGGTTCATATTCATGAGCTAAAATCCTCTTCAGCTGTTTAACATTTACACTGTTCAATGGCTGAAAGTTAATGAAGCTCTTTGTAATGGGGGGGGACCTTCACCTTTGTCTCTAAACTCTCATTTTTTATTCTTTATTCAGGTTGACTGGCTGCAGTTTGTCAGAGATCAGCTGTTCTTCTCTGGCCTCAGCTCTGAAGTCCAACCCCTCCCACCTGAGAGAACTGGACCTGAGTCACAACGAGCTGCAGGATCCAGGAGTGAAGCAGCTGTGTGGTTTTCTGGAGAGTCCAGACTGTCGACTGGAGACTCTGAGGTAGATATGTTGATATAGATATGTGCTTGCATTACATTTCATTACATTTGCTCATTTGACAGATGCTTTTATCCAAAGCCACTTAGAAGTGAGTGACATCACTGAAGCTTCAGTGCAGTAGGAGACCTTGGAGTAAGCACTAACTACTAAATCTGTTCAATAAGGGGAAGTGCTCTGAAGGTTCATATTAAGTGCTGGAGTTAGAGGCGTGGCGTGTAACACAACAGCGTCAGTGTTCTGTCCTAACATCCCGGGTCTCCCTTTTACACAGACATTGATGTGGCTCCGTGGCTACCTCCGCTGCCGGTGTAAAAGCAAAACAACATTGCCCTCCCACTCTGGGATTGTACTTTTTATACAGGATGGCAAAGCAGAATAAAGTCACAACATTCCCGCCATGAACAAGCTGTGTAAAAAGGGCTTATTGTTACCTGAACTGCCATGGTCCTGCTGTGATAAATGTGCAAATATGCAAAACACTGGTGTTCAGCTGCTGTGTCCGTGCCTGGGGAAAAGTAAAGGGATTACACCACTTTCAAAAGTCTGCAAGTGAAACACATTTGTGGGAATTTCTGCAACAAATGTGGGATGAACTTTCTGAGTAATATTTGATTTCCATTGTAGAAAGAACGTCACGAGTGTGTTCAGCTACCGGACGAGTTCAACAAGAAGATTTCATTATTGCTTGTTTTTGAAATTTCCAATTATTTATTTGTTCCGTGCTTTAATTTCAGAAACACTGAAACATTGAATTAAGTAAATTTAAATAACAGCTTCAAAATGGAGGTGTTCTAAAACTTTTGACCAGGTATCTATAAATTATTGTAAAATTGTGAATGACAAAAATCTGTTTATTTTTGATAATACACTCTGAAAATGTTACAAGCAATATGGTTTTAATATATGACTTAATCTGTCTCATATTAGTGTATGTACGAGTGTTTGAAAATCCACTCCAAGGTTCAGTAGGTAACTTATTGGCTTAAACTGTCAATATAAATCCGCACACATCTGATTGTATTATAATTTATTTTATCTATTTGTTTTATTCTGTATTCAGGTTGAAACTCTGCAGTTTGTCAGAGATCAGCTGTTCTTCTCTGACCTCAGCTCTGAAGTCCAACCCCTCCCACCTGAGAGAACTGGACCTGAGTAACAACAAGCTGCAGGATCCAGGAGTGAAGGATCTGTGTGGTTTTCTGGAGAGTCCAGACTGTCGACTGGAGACTCTGAGGTCAGTTCACTAGATCTTATATTCTTAGTTTACAATTGAACCCAATTTAAATACATACATAATTCAATTTATAAAATTTATCTCCTCGTATTTGCTCATGTTTTATTCTTTATTCAGGTTGGTGAACTGCTGGTTGTCAGAGATCAGCTGTTCTTCTCTGGCCTCAGCTCTGAAGTCCAACCCCTCCCACCTGAGAGAACTGGACCTGAGTGGAAACTTCCTGCAGGATCCAGGAGTGAAGCAGCTGTGTGGTTTCCTGGAGAGTCCAGACTGTCGACTGGAGACTCTGAGGTCAGTTCACTGTGTTGTCTTTAATTTACCATTTATTTATATACAAACATAAAGTTGTAAATTTCTCTTGTCCACTGTTGTTGACGGTGCTTTGGGGGAGGGGTTAGCTGTCAGCTTTTATTTTTTTCCATTTTGTTGTTCTGTACAGATGGAAATTGGATCGTTTGTTAACAATAATTATTTCCCCTCTGTTTAATAAATTTTTTGACTTATAACAGAGAGGAAATAACAATTTGCCTTTTTTGATTAATGAATTAGAATTAAGTTAAAATAGATTACATATAATGGATAAGGTGCATAAGAAATATCTGCTCCGTCCACCTTCTGTCCACTGCCTCATGAGCTGGATCCCAGATGATTGTCACTTCAGAATCCTGCGTTACTACCTGAAAATGTGTTAGCAGTATTTGTTATTATTCTTTTCTTATTATTATACTATTGTGTGGCGACTAACGGATACACCTGATTTAACACGATACAGTGCAGAAACTGATCACTGCATATCAGCTTCTTTGCCTTTTCTACCTGCCCTTCACTGTTGCACCCAGTCAGCGAATTTCAGCCTCCTGAAATTCTGGAATACTTCACCTTTCCTACTTGCCCATCGATTAGAACATACAGTATCTGATTGATTATCAAGGATTTTACCAACCTGATTTCTTCTTTATTCAGATTGAGGTCTTGCAGGTTGTCAGAGATCAGCTGTTCTTCTCTGGCCTCAGCTCTGAAGTCCAACCCCTCCCACCTGAGACACCTGGACCTGAGTGACAACAACAAGCTGCAGGATCCAGGAGTGAAGCAGCTGCGTGGTTTTCTGGAGAGACAAGACTGTCGCCTGCAGACTCTGAGGTCAGTTCACTGTCTGTTACTGTTGTAGATCTTATACTGTATGTTTGATTTATCATTGAACCTAATCTATATACAGTACATACATAAGATTCATAAAGTTGTAAATGTCTTTTGTCCACATTTTCTTCTTTCACTTGTTCTGAATGTATCCCACAGTCACTAAAGAGCGTTTCTTTGATCAGTTGGATAAAACGTGAACTGTTTTTGAAGTGAATTAATGTCAATTTAATGCTTCTATCATTTTTCGTAAAGAGTGATGATGATCCACAACAACAGAAGGACAAAGTCACTCTGCTTATTTTAGAGACACATCTGATTGATTATCAGTGTTTTCATCCACATGATTCTTTCTTCAGATTTTGGCACTGCAGTTTGTCAAAGATCAGCTGTTCTTCTCTGGTCTCAGCTCTGAAGTCCAACCCCTCCCACCTGAGAGAACTGGAGCTGGGAGAAAACTACAATCTGCTGGATTCAGACCTAGAGGATCTGTCTGATCTTGTGGAGAGTCCAGACTGTCGACTGGAGACTCTGAGGTCAGCAGAGGGGTGGAGTCAGTCCATGCCCAGTTGGTATCAAGCAAAGATCCGGTGTTTCAAATGTTCTTCTCTTGTAACTGTTGTGGTTGTGTTCGTTCCTGCAGGGTCAATGGCAAGGTGACTAAAGCTTCCAGAGACAAAACCAGTGAGTCCTGAAACACTGTCTCCTATTCATCCATCTGTTGTAAATAAACTGACTGTATAAATTACTTTCTGGATCAACGTGTGTGGATCAGCTGCAGCTGATGAATTTCACTGTATAAAGACAGCTACAGACTTTAAGCTGTTATAGACGGAGTTCACGCAGAAGCAGGTATCTGCACACGTCCACTCAGGTTGATACACACACAATAGAAAACCAGGAGCATCTGAGAGGAAGGTGATGACAGGAGGTTTTGCTGCTGTCTCTGACTCAGATCTGATGATGAGAGGAACATTAAACACTGATTTCTGCTGTGTGTCCTCTCCTCCCATCAGGTGACTCTGATGTCAAACTGGACCCAAACACAGCAGAGAGGAAGATGGACGTGTCTGAGGACGACACAGAGCTGATGAAGGTGAGAGAAAAACCATCGTGTCCTGATGTTACAGACAGATTTACAGGTTCAACACACAGCAGCTGATGGAAAACAAATAATCAGTCTTCTTCATCATCATCTTCTTCACTTGTGCAGGTGGAGAAAGAAATGGATAAAAACTAAAACATCTATTGTGCAGATTTTTGAACTGTGTGGTAGACGAGGAGTTTCTGAACAATTTGACAATTAAAAAATGAACATTTAATTTCCTGCAGACACTGAGAGACACTGAACAGATTCAGACAAATTTCCCCTTAATTCATCATCTTGACTAATTTTAGAATCTGGACAAATATCATTTTGAGGTCACGATGGCTGATCAATCACCTGAACGATCAACGATCTGGTTTTCAGATTAACGGTTGGATTTCTGCAGTTTGACCAGTTCAACAGTCTGATTTTATCATTTAGTATTTTACATGCTGTGAATAAGACTGGTCTTAAAACACGTAATGTGAGTTTAACAAAACGCACACGATTATTGAAAATGCAGTGTCTGACTGACGGACCACAGACAGACTCACTCACAGTGTGGACTGTGTGACAATAGTCGTTTGCTTCACTGAACACAAGTTGGTCATTTCTAATAAAACTGATGTTGTTCCACAGCGTCCATCAAGCTTCACACCTCAACGGAAAACTGAATCTACAAAAGTCTCATACAGGTAATCATATAATAAAATGACAGAGTTTAACCCCCACCCCCACCCCACCCGCTGTGCTCATTCAGCTCTCTGTGTCCTACAGGTTCAGGTGTCCTGGTCCAGGTGGGTTCCAGTGTACTTTGACTGGACTGGTTTTTGTTGTGGCTCAGGAGGCGGCGCTGCTCTACAGGACTGTCCAATGGGATGAGAGCCTCCTCCAGTCAGCTGGAAAGACACCAGCAGGGCCGCTGTTCAATATCCAGTGTCCTGAGGAAGCAGTGTGTGAGCTCCACCTCCCACACTGTGAAACAAAGGACGGTAAAGACTTTGCTGTCTTGAATGTTAAAGAAATATTTGGTAAAATCTGAGATATTTGTATTAATGTGCAAAATTGCAAAACAGAAAATTGTAATGGAGTATATCCATAACACTAGATGTACACATCAAGACAGATCACATGTGGAACAGGACAGTGATGATAAATTCAGAGACACCAGGTAAAGGATAGAGGTGAACTTCAGAGTTCACATCAGTAGATTCATTTGATCTGAACTCAAATGGTAAGAAATGATTTGGGTTTGGATTCAACAGATTAACAGCTGTGTGTTTTCACAGCGTTGCGTTATGAAGGCCTGCTGTCTGTTGTCCACATCAGTGATGATGGACTGAGCATCTTGGAGCCACTGAAGGTCACGGACACTCATGTGGTGGTGAAGGTCCCTCACCTCTCTGCCTTTGGCCTGGTCTGGGATACAGTGAAACGGTTTCTGAACATCAAACTGCCAGTAAACGGACAAGTCCTGCTGTTTGTCCGACCTCCAGATCCATGGCCTCCGGTACTGGATGTATTTCTGCTGCAGAACAACATCCCTGTGTCAGAGGTAAAGCTATGCTTGTTGGACTTGAGGGTTTTTTTCTGGGTTCTCTATCAGTATGCATTTCTGTCTGCCAGTGTCGTTCATGATACTTCCACCAGATGACGTAAACAGTGGCCTAAATGAGTCCAAAATGAAAGACGTAGAGATAACTTCACTGCTGTCTTTAAAGTACAGATCTTAATATTTTATCTCCATTGGTATCTTTAAAGCTTTTGGTCAACGTTTGTCATTTTTAAAAGTGCTGAATAGATAAAAATAAAGCCTTAAACTCTTTGAGCATTAAAACCTTAATAAAAATGTCCTGGTGCTGAAGGTTGCCGCCCAACAAGGAGATGCTGAAAACATCAAGATCTCTGCTGACTGTAAACTGAGCATGGGTCAAACTTACAGTGTCCACTGTGAACCTGAGGACGTAGAAATACAGCCTGAGGTGAGTCTCACACACTTTAAGGGTTATTAACAAAATGATCATGAATGCAGTTTAGGTTGATTGTTGAAATTGGATTCACAATTAAGAAGTATTAGGGAAACATTTTACAACAGGTTTGAAAATAACATGTTTCCCCTCCCTGGTTTTCAGTGCATGCAGTTTCACTCAAGGTATGGAGCAAATTTCCATCCAACATTTGAGGTTTTCTTGACTTCGAACTCCAAGAAAGTGACTGTGACGGTCCAAGACAAGGAGAGGAGAGACGTCTGGAAACGTACCTTTTATCTGCCAGGTAAAGGCTTCACCCTCCTACAGCAGCAGCATCCACCTGATGTCAGAGTTTAGAATAGAATGGGATAGAATATGCATATGTAAATCATTGCATATTCAGGGACCTCAACATTGGTTCCATCTTAAATCAGTCTTCATTTAGGCTGCATGTTACCTGCAGCCATGTTTTGATTGTTGATTATTGATTATTAAACACAGTTGAACAAAAACCTCTACTGGGGCCATGTTACAGAAACTGTCTTCTGTCTTGAGATAGGAAGAGTAGAAGATTCTTTCCAGTTCGGGCTCGTCTGTCCCTCGTCACACATTCTGTAAAATCCTCATTAATGAAAATCCTGCTGCCTTAAGTTTTTCCCTGTCTTCAGAGTTTCTTCTTTATCCTTGAATCTGAGCAGCTTCATCACAGTGGACCCTGGCCTGTTGGCTCACTGCAGATTTTCGCTTGTTCATATTCAGCTTCAACTGATTTGAGGTTTACTCTCCATGTGTTTGTCAAAAGAAGATCATAGAGATGCAGACTGACTTGAAATGTTCTTCAGACCTGCAGAAATGTTCTTTGTTCAGGTCTTTAAAAGGTTTAAATACCATATGGAACAGAACTGGAGGATCAGCAGCTGCGTTCAGAAAAACACATTCAGACAAAATGTTTGTCAGCAGATGCATTCAAAACTGCAAATGTGGTCAGAATGAAGCTTGTATTTTTTCATGTTCCAATTCAAGGATTTTCATGCTTTGTGAATATTCTCAGTGAGTGTGCAGCCTGCTGCTGAAGAAGGTTTGTGCTCAGAGGATCCAACATCATTAAATCAAGGTAAGAAAAACTGTTGACGGATCATTTTGATCAGGATGATTGTGCTCTGTGCCAACTGGTTTGTTTCCAGCTGACTGAATGGATTAGTGTGTCTATAATGAAAGTGAAGCAGTTTTGCCTCATCTTATTTGTCAAACGACTTTTATTCCCCACAAACAGCCAGTGTACTAACTGCAGATGTTAGCTGTAAGCTAGCAAGCAACAGACTCACCAAGAGTGTTTCTGTGTGTTTGTGTAGAGGTCTGATCTGTGAACTCGGCACATATTCCCCTTCACTCTCGTCTTTGTACATCAATGAAAGTGATTCATAATAATACAGATAAGACAAAGATTTTACTCCAGTGAATTTGTGTCTAATAACATGTTTCTAGTCAGTCAATCTTTTGCTGGGTCCAATTGAACCAGTTTGGTCTGTTATATTTTGATTTTAACACCATGTACAATTATGTACATTATTAACAGCTCCCCTCGAAAACAAAACTTTCCAACCAGCAGAGACACAAAAATCCCAACCTGAAGGGAAGCAGAGCTGAAGGAAACCTCTGTAGAACATATTTACATTAATTTACCCTGGATTTACCCAAACTGAAGACAATGTGGTCAAATCTCAGACGAGGAGAGGACGAGGAAAAGAGCAGAGCAGTAATAAGAATACATGAATATCTGTTGGTCAGGGTGTTGTTCTTTGTTTCTGCCACTAGATGGAGACAGAACATCACAGATGAATAAAGAAGCTGCAGCCACAACAGATTTCTTTTAAAAACAAACCTGAGTGAAAACAATTTAACAACTTAAACTGAAAGAAGTCTGTGAAAGTGGCATCATCCAGTTTATTTAGGTATTTTATTTTATATCATCTCATTGGCCCGACCTCACACACAACTTCCACCAACACAACAGCCAGCCAATCAATGCAAAGCTGAAAACATCAATTAATTGATCGACAGAAAATAATTTAATTTGATCATTGAATATTTGATTTAAGACTCTGACTCTGGAAAACTGACTTTTTTCTATTTTTATTACATTTATTTACAACAATTTTAATTAAACCAATATTTGACCATATTAATAGTAATAATTACTAATAAAATGGGCAAAATAAACAGCAGATTAATTGATAGTGAAGATAATGGTGAGTCAGTCAGAGCGTGCTGCTAGTCTGTGGGTGTAGTTTAACTTGGCCTCATTTTCAGTCTGGTCCTGTTCTTGTAATTTCTATGAGCTCTCTGTTTTAAGAGTCCTAGTTATTGAACACAAGTACTTTTCTTTTTCATCTTCCAGGTCGTGGTGCATCAGGGACTCCGGGTGTCCCAACATGGTCTATGAGTGTCCTAGCATGGACTCTGAGTGTCCTAGCATGGACTTCGAAGGTCCCGTTATGGACTCTGAATGTCCCAGCTGAAAAGACGCTGATGTCTGTCCGAACACAGTTTATCAACAGGGTGTCTGAACCTGTTCTTCGTACGCTGCTGGATAAACTCCTGGAGCGTGGGGTGATAACTGATGGTGAAATGGAGTCTGCTGGAGCACTAAGCAGGGCAGACAAAGCTCGAGTGGTGATCGACACGGTACGAAAAAAAGGATCACAAGCCAGTGCAGCTCTGATTGCTGCTCTCCGTGAGGTAGATTCATGCCTTTCAACAGAGCTGAACTTAATGTGAAGCAGGAACACTGTCTGTCAGGGTGTTTCTGCCAGCACATCTTTAATCCTGGAGTTTCTCTTTTAAACTGTTTCTCTGTTATTTAAGAACATTTGATAAAAAAACCTTAAAACTCCCAAACATCAACAAACAACAGAGGTTTGATTTTGAGGTGAAATGAAAGTCTATCCTGCTGTGACTCATCAAGATTTGTATATTGACACAAATGTGGACGTGCTCTTACTGAATATTTGTTACTGGAGCTTTCAGGTCAATAAATACACTTTTTTTAATCTCAAATCTTCTGTGTTGTAGCCGTGTTGTCCGAAACAAGACGAGCATCATCCAGCTGCTCAGCAGAAAACTTAAAAGTGTCTATACTGACATGAGGACAGTATGAGTCAGTGCTGAACAAACGTGATGCGTTCATGTACTGACGTGCATTTGAATGATGGTGTAGCTTCTATAGAAGGTGGACACTAGAACCATATGACCAGGTGAGAAGCACAAATTGGTAAACAGGCCTGAACAGGCTGCCAACATGAAGTGTTGTAGTTTTTTAAACATAACTATTCTTGTAGGTTCAGAAGCAGAAAAGAGGAAACTTAACAGTCAGCTGCTCCAGAGGTATGTACGATATGAAGTTAGTGCTGTAAAAGATCAATGTTCATTTAGTTCTGTTTGTTTACAGGCAGCACTGACTGCTGTTTGTTTGTTTGTTTAGACAAACTGTGGACAGTTGTAAATAACCTCCATGTGGTTTGTTTTGTTGCTAAATGGATGTAAAGATTGTGTTCCCAAGTGTTTGGTTGTAATGCTTTTATTTTGTATGTCGTGTGAATTTTATTTTGAAAGGAACGTACTCTGATTAACCGTTAATCGACAGAAACGGAAAATCACAGAAACGGTAACTCACGGTAATTTGTGTTAAAAGAAACGTTGTGCGGGAGAGTTTAACGATTTATTTTTCTTCAGTCGAAAAGGAAACACGGTGAGTTTAATTATTTCACCTGTCTCTAAGTATTTTTGAGCTAATTTTTAAAATAAGTTAGCTAACTGTTCGTCGTTAGCAAAGAAATGTGAAGTCCCAAAAATGCAATACCATTGTCCTGTAACCAGAGGTGGAAAGTAACGAAATACATTTACTCACGTTACTGTACTGAATACTTTTTTGTGTATTTTGTATTTTTTAAGTACAATTTAAAATCGGTATTTTGTATTTTACTTGAGTACGTTTTGACTCAAGTATTGTACGTAGTTACTTTATAAATCCTATAATCCTAGTTAACTTTAACAGGCCACAGTTAAAGCTGGGGAAACATTAACTATCAGTGTTACAGGCAGAGGTGGAAAAAGTGCAAAAATATTGTACTTAAGTAAAAGTACCAATACTTTGATGAAATATTAATCAAGTAGAAGTAAAAGTACTCATCTGAAAATGTACTCACGTTAAAGTAAGAAGTAGTTTATTTGAAATGTACTTTAAGTAAAAGTTACTTAGTTACTTTCTTTGTGTGAGGGTAGACTAAAGACTTCGCGCCCACTAACCTAGCTTGTCCGCGCGCGCCCTCTATGTTCACGCGCCAGTGCTAATCACATCATCATTTGTCACTGTTGGTTCTGGCCATTGGTTTACTGTCTATGGTTCTGGCGCGTATTTTTCCCCTGTAGGTTGAATTGTTATTTTTACTCAGTAACGGATAGGATTTATAAAGTAACGAAGTACAATACTTGAGTCAAAACGTGCTCAAGTAAAACACAAAATACCGATTTTAAATTGTACTTAAAAAATACAAAATACACAAAAGTATTAAATATAGTAACGTGAGTAAATGTATTTCGTTACTTTCCACCTCTGTTAATGGGGTTGGTTCCACACATTGCTCTTTCCTTGTGTCGCGTGCAGACAGTTTTACTGTCCACAGTGAAGGAGCTCTGCAGCGGTGAAAGTGGAGGACCGTTGGTGACGCACAATAAGTTTTACATTATTATCGTTATTATTTCAGAGGGTCAGATTTAGTCTCCTGGTTATGTTCCATGTGAATATTACAGACTGTAGTCGGTGAGTAATCCGTTTGGCTTCGTCTGGGGACGCAGACCTGTCTAATCTCTAAATGTAAATTCCCGCTGACAGTGCGAGTAATTAAATGGTGATTGTCTAAATGTTTTAGCTGCGTCAGGAGCTGCTGACCGCTCACCAATAACGACACGGATGAAGTTTAAACTGGAAAGAAGTTTTCTATGACTGCAGCAGCCACAAAGACACGAGCAGAAAAGAGAAAATAACGTTGAATGTTTGGACAGGTGTTTACCTAAGAAGAGGAGGAGACTAAAAGGGAGAGACTAAAGTGAAAGTCAGTCCCGAGTCCATTTAAAATTCAACAGTAGAAGGAGAGAACAGGACGGGTCCAGGGTGAGTGTTGATATCAGGTCGAGTAATAACGCTTTCTCTCAGTATTGACCCATCTTCTGATTTCTGTGTTCCTTTTTAACTGGTTATCACAGGTGATCAGTGTTTACATATGCCGTTTCCTGTGCTCCAGCTGTTGTCCTTCATGGATTTGCCATTTCACATTTCACTACGTGAGTGTCTGTGAAGAGTGACGAGATGTGAAAGATGCCAAGTAATCTGTTTGGCTTCGTCTGTGGACACAGCTGAAGTTTACTGGAAAATACCTGTTTTTAGGAAAGGCCGTCGTCGCGTCTGGTTCGGCAGCTGACAGCGCGAACTGTCAGAAAACTAACCAGGAAGCTCAACAATTAAATTCCCGCTGACACTTTGAGCTAAAAGTGAATGTAGAAAGTTGGCAGCCACTTTAAATGGCGATTGTATAAACGTTTATTTCTGTTAGGGATGACTGGCCGTTATTGTGTGGATTTTAATCTGGAGTGGAAGGACGAACCGAACAGTGGAGGCGAACCTGTTCGGTTTGTGCGAACAGAGACGAAGTCGCGTCTGCTGAAGCAGATAAAGTGAAATTTTCTTTACCCTGAGTTTTCTGTGACTAGCAGCCACAGTAGAGAAACAAAGACGGAGGTACAGGATTGAACAGGCGTTAGAATAAGAGAAGAAGAGGCGACAAACAGGGAGAGACGCTGAAAGCGAAAGTAAAAAGTCAGTCGAGACTCCATTTTAACTCCTCTGTAGGAGGAAACGGGACGTGCTGGTTGCTGCTTCTGATTTCTAGGGCCACTGTGGTCAGAGACATTATGTTTTCTCATTGTCTGTCCACCACATTCTAGTGAACATGGTATCTCAGTAACATCTTGAGGGAATTTCTTCCAATTTGGAAGTAATGTTCACTTGGACTCCAGGATAAACTGATAAGAATTTGTTGGTCAAAGGTCACTGTGTGCTACTATTGATAAAATACATTTAATACCCTCAGAGTCTTCACAACATATACGAGTCTGGACGGACATGGATGTAACTGGAGCTTGACTCACCGGCGGAGGTACACAACCATTCTAGTTTTCCTGTTATCTGAAGTCTGACCAGTTGTTGGGTTTAAAACACAGTCAACATTTGTCTTTATAATGGATAGAAAATAGACATGCTTTTAATTATACTAATGTAGCATGGATAAGAAGCTTTAGGTGGAGTCCTCACTCTGTGTGTCTGTGTCTGTGTCTGCAGTGTTACAGGTTTACCTCTCAGACTTGAGAAGATGAGTTGTTTGGGGGAGGAGGAGGACAGACCAGAGTCTCCAGTCCCCAGCCGTCTGTCTATGAAGAGTGACCGGTAGGCATATTGTTTCCTGATTGTCTGTCCGTCCGTCCCATTCTCGTGGACATCATATCTCAGTAAAGCCTTCAGGGAATTTTTCAAATTTGGCGCAAACATTCACTTTAACACAAGGATAAACTGACTAGATTTTGGTGGACAAAGGTCAAAGTTCAAGGTCACTGTGATGTCACAGAACTTGTCAAATTCATGCAGTAATTATGACACAATTTGTCCTTATAGTCAAATGACTATAAGGATAAAAATGAAGTGACAATATTTCTTATCCAAATGGTCAAAGGTCAACTTCACTGTGACATCATTTGACATTTCTGGCCATTATTCAGTTCAGCTGTATTAAAATACTGTATGTGTGAGCACAGAGAGTAGAGGAGAAGCAAACAGATAAAGGGCTGGAACCAGCTGATTTTGCGCAGGCTTCAGTTACTTCCTGGTGAAACTAACAGTTTATAGTTTGTTCGACCTCGCCTGCAATTTCTCTCATTGACCACTACAGTTCATTCATATACTAGATTTTGACCTAGAGTTGCTCAGTAGTTTGTTCGGTGGGAAATGAAGACGTCTGTTCATTTCAAACAGTGTCCTGATTTTATTTGACTCAGCACAGAAACAAAACTAATTTCTGTTTTTGTGAAACAAAAGACCTTTTCTAATATTGTTTGTAACACAACTGGTGATTTTCATGTAATTGGATCACTTACCAGACACTGAGATTATACGTGCAGAAGACGCAGATAGAAATGTGAACATAACTATCATCATTATCATAAATCTTAAATTAAATCATTATCTTGTGCCATGTTATATTTTACATCTGCTCTTTACAAGTATGATTTTGTGTAAAATATGTGCTGTTTCCACAGACTGAGAGCAGAGTCTCCAGTCCCCAGCTGTCTGTCTATGAAGAGTGACCGGTCCAGAAATTTTCCTCTAAACTTCAGTAATGATCCTGGACCCTCAGACACACAGTAAGAGACAGTTTCTATTATAAACCGACCTGAAGATGATTCATTGTTGAAGTGTATTTCAACATTAGTCGTAGTAGGTGCCCAAGTTGGATCTTAAGGATTTGTGGCCCCTTTTTCTAAAGTCACATTGTGTTTGTCTTTATTTAGTAAAGGACTGCTCAGAGGTTTTTTGCAGGTAACTGAAGAAAAGCAGCACTGCTGAAAACTGTCTTCAAATGAACCGTTTTCTTTTCAAGGGAGAAAAATGGGAAGAGGGAATGGAAATTTATACAAACAGCTTTCTGATTAATCACTGTAAATACTGTAATGATATCATATATATTATATACGATTATAGAGCTGCATTCAATTCATGAGCTGTGCGTTGGCCACCGTTAATATAATGTGTTATAACGATTCTGTTCATGTGTCCACAGAGGGAAGAAGAGGAGTCATGTACCTGGTTCTTCAGGAGACTCCTCCTCTACCCAGTGTGTGAAAAGACCCAGAACAACACCTGGACTGCAGACAGCTAGTCAGACCAGCACTGAACAAAGTGAGACTGAACATCTGTATGATGATGATGTCATCATTTCTGAAACCAGGACCTGTTGTTTTATAGTGTCTAGTCAATTTTGTTTATATTGTGCCAAATCTTAACAGAAGTTATCTTGTGACACTTTTCATATAGAGCAGATCTAGACACCCAACATTCCCACGTCAGATTGCACTTGGGGACACTAGCAAGAAAAAACTAATTTTAACAGGTAGAAACCTTTAACAGAACCCGGCTCGTGGTGGGCAGCCGATGGGTTCATTGCCTTTCCCTGGGAAACTGGATATGGCTGGAAAAACAAGCAACATTATCAGTTTAGTTCATTTTTATTAATAATTAAAGATATTTATTCCTTTTATTGGTTAACAATAAGGTTTGAGCTCTGAAATGGGTTTTATATCTACTTTAGAGGCAGAGAAATAAAGGTCTGAGTGACAGCATTGCATCAGGTCAGTTACTGAGCTGAGCAGGTCAAAGTCTGTGTCTGAATCTTCTGAGTCGTTGTCATCGTTTTTCATCCAGTT